AACTGCGCAGCTACCTTGGCTTGCAGATCACCCGGGACAGAGCACAGCGCACCATCACCCTGACTCAGTCACACATGGTGCAGCAGGTCCTTCAGCGCTGCGACTTCACGTACTCCTCGCCTCAGGCCACTCCTCTGTCTACTCGCCACTCGCTCTCAGCTCTGCCTTCGGATGAGTCCGTAGAGCCGAGTGGCCCGTATCCAGAGCTTGTTGGCTGCCTCATGTACCTGATGACCTGCACTCGACCTGACTTGGCATACCCTCTTAGCATCTTGGCGCGCTATGTTGCTCCTGGGAGACACCGACCAGAGCACATGGCTGCAGCGAAGAGGGTGTTGCGCTACCTGTGCAGTACGTCGGGCATGGGGCTCGTGCTTGGAGGACGGGCTCGAGTTGTCCTCCTTGGTCACGCAGACGCTTCTTGGGTTGATGACTTGGCTACGCAGCGGTCGTCACAAGGTTACACCTTCAGCCTTGGTTCCGGCTCTGTCTCGTGGCGGTCTACCCGCTCGTCCTCTGTTCTCAGCTCCAGTTGTGAGGCTGAGATCTACGCTGGGGCCATGGCTGCACAGGAGTTACGCTGGCTCACCTACCTGCTGACCGACTTGGGAGAGGCGCCTCGTTCTCCTCCAGTTGTGTACGTCGACAACAAGGCCATGCTGGCCTTGTGTCAGGAGGAGCATAGAACGAAGCACATTGCTCTGCGCTACTTCCTTGCTCGAGAGTTGCAGCAGCGTGGTCAGCTTCGTCTTGCTTACGTGGCCTCTCGGGCCAACACTGCTGATATCTTCACCAAGGCACTTCAGCCTTGTGATCATCAGCGTTTCTGTACTATGCTAGGTCTTGTGCCTACCGGGCCTCACTTGCTTACCTCTTGACTTTGCTTGTACTGTGATCTATATATACCTGCTCCTGCATGCTTACCTTTGCTAGGTTGTGATCACTGTCTTGCTTGTTCACTTTGATTTATAATCCTGCATGTGAACTGGCCTTGTGGCCTTTGAACTTGTGCTCGGAATGTGTGGTGACGTTGTGATCCACTCTGAGCTTACTTTGCTTTGCTTGACTGGTTTTGTGACCCCTTGTTCTCCCCCACTTTGCCTATGGGGGTGTGTCAGACATACATGATATAGCCTGTGTAGGCTGTAGTGGGGTAGCCAATAGGGGGTACAGCTTTTCTAGGGTTTCATACTTGTACCTTTCTCATTCCTAGTCAATCCATTCCTCGTTCTTATTCTCACACATATTCTCTTATGCTTGCCTTTGCTTGTTTTCATAGTTTCGTTGCTTGATTATAATTATTATAGTTATAGGCACCGAAAAAGGTTGCATGCACCGAATCTATTTCGTTTCGGTTTTTTTTGCGTGACTATGCGTTCCGCGTGATTTCACTTAACTGCTTCTACTAAATTCTGGAAGGTGCCATTCCGGCCGCTTCGCTTTCCTCGGAACCTTCGTGTAACACTTGGTTACCTCACCTTGACTCGTGCTTATATATAGCCCCATGTTTTACCCAAGTGATCATTATAGAAAATCTGAACTCGATCCTTTGATCCTTATACTTGGTAACCGGAGCGACTTTATACGCAAAAACCTTTGACTGCTAAAACCTAGCCTTGAAAAACCCCGTGGGAGCGACGACGAAAAGTGCCAATTCGGGTACGTAAATCAGTCCCGCATATTTGTTTAGATCCCCCTCTAAAAGATTTCTGAATAGGCATGTTGGGCATGGAGGGGCAAGGCGACAACTTCGTACAGGAACTCGCCACACTCCTCACTGAACATGAGCACACTCGCGCGACGCTTCAACGACTCGAGCCGTTGATCGCGAACCAGTCAGCAATGGGCACAGCAGCAGCGACGGCAGCGAGACTGACACTTCAACCTACACTGCGGCACCAGCTACCGTAAATCTTGAAGCAGCTCGCTCGAGGCTACCAGAGGCGTTCTATCCGAGCGTGAAAGGAACCGACGTCAGAAGATTCATCGCTAGAATTGAAATCTATTACGAGGCGGTTGGATCCACAACCCTGACACACGACGCGACGCGGATTCGGCTCGCAGTGAGACTGTTACAAGGCCCAGCACTCGAGTAGATCTATAGTAGCAGTGAAATCCGAGGTGAAGGATCGTGGGCACGGTTTTGAGCAGCCCTGAATCAACGATTCGAACCAATTAATTAGTCCTACATGGAACAGAGGCAACATCGGGAATGCGATATTAAGCGACCTTGTGAGCATGACGCTCATGGAATACGAGCCCAAATGGGACGCTGTAGTGAAGATATGGCGGCGGGAGAAGAAGCGTAAGCCCTGCACTTCGTGAGTATCACCTAGGGCGTCTGCGAAGAGCCGAGAGGGCAAGGGAAAGGTTGTGGAGTTAAGCTCAGAAGAGGAGATGAGAGAGGATGGGTCTGAGGGGGAGGGTTGTAGTGGTGGGGAGGATAGTGATGCTGGCAATTCAGATTCTGACTCTAAATGAACTATGAATTCCATGTTTTTTCTATGTACTTCCAGATTTAGTGCATTTCGAGCAAGTGCAAACACAAACGCAAGTGCAAAATGTCTAGTCTGATGCCTCAGAGAAATAGAAATTTGATGTCCGAAAATCATGTAAAGTCTGAGATTCATGACTACGTAATAGAACAGGTCTGATGGCTCAAAGTGCCTAAATCATGCCCTCAGATTCGTTTTTTGCTTGTCTGATTTGTCAGACTTAGTACACTGTGTTAGTTTGATTTGATCAGAGTTGGTTGGAAAAAAAGTCTGAAACTTCAGAGTGTCTAAAATAAAAAGACTGAAGCATTCAGAGTCAACACCAGCGAAAGTCTGATTTGGATTTCAGCCGTGTGTTCTATAGGGTGTTGTTGAACTTCATTACCCAGGCCAGGCCTACATACATACTACTGCTGATGCATTAACAGTTAGATTTACCTACCTACCCACCTATACTAGGGCTATGTAGATCCAATCTAATCTACACATTACTCTACTCATCAAATCCATCATCATCATCACTATCTAATGCATCATCATCCTCCTCTATGTCTTCTACTTCCATCACTTCATCTGCCTCCTTGGCCTTGTTCTGTTCCTTTCGTGCAGGCGGGAGAGGAGCACTGCTGTGGGGCTTGCGCTTCTTGTAGGCTCTCCAGATTGTCACGATCTCCTTCCACTTGGGCTCGTAGTCCATGAGGCTCATGCACATGAGGTCGCCCAGCCGTGCATCCTTCAGCGAGCCTCTCTGCCACGACTTGATTATGTTCTGCCTAGAGAACCCCCGCTCGCACTCCACGGTGCTCAGCGGCAGTACAGCTACCACCACCCACAAATGCACAAGGTTGGGGTAGTTGTCCCGCCAGTCCGGTGTGTTGAGCATGGCTGTGAGCCCCGCATGGAAGCTGCGCTCGCCCTTGGTAGAGGCTGCAAGCACCGAGGTAAACATGCGCAGCTCCTTCTCTGCACGATCCTTGTTGACTCCTGGCGGGGTTGGGAAAAGGATAACAAAAAAATAGAATGAGTAAACAAATACATACATTCGTTGAAGCGTCGCACATAACACAAACAGAGCAACGATGCAGCATGATGTAAAGAATACACATAAGGCTTACCTGGCACGATCTCTTCCATCAGGTTGGCCTTGAACAAAGTGACAGCATGATTGAAGGCACCTCCGTTTCCTCTCGGTTCGATCCTGTGGGTACTCGTCTGGTAAAAACAGTTTTACCTCGGACATGCCATCCAGGTCCCCAAGCCGATGCTCCAGTTGGTGAACAATCACCTCCGCGAACTTCGTGCACAGTTCCACACAGTCATCATGGGTCCCGGGCCCTTCGAACTCCTCCAGCTCGTCCTCATGCAGCATGAATTTGAAGCGTGCTGGATGGCCGTCCGAGTCTATCCCTTCGACTTTCACCTCCCAATTTCCTGCTGGCCCATGGCGCGTGATGAAGGGGGAAAGCAGCTCACTCACGCCGCCACCGAAGTCGTCGCCGCAATCAATGTAGCGGCTCTCGATGTGGGAAGTTGTGCGCTTGATTTGCGCATGCACGCTGGCATAGTCAAGCTGGACAGGAAACAATAAAACGGTAGTTGGTGGATGGTGACGGTTAACATACAGGAACATAGCACATACAGGCGACTGCAACAAAACATTAACAGAAAACTATGGCCAAACTCACCTCCTTGTGCTGGAACGCCCGGTTCAAGATGTTGAGCTGCCCAGGCACATCAGCAATGAAGAAGAGAAGGAAATGAAACCTGTAACTGGTAACCAGAGCATAGACGTGAAGACTTCCTGGAGCCCCATGAACCGTTGATGCCACGGCCCCGAACGGCCGAGATGCTCTGCCACGGTGCGAATCACCGTGTCAATGACATTGAACGCCGGAACTCTCTCAGCCGCTGTTTTAGCCGCGAGTGCCTCCCTGTACAAAAGATGGAAACAACATTAGTACATCGGCAAATTAAACAATCGTAAAAAACGCAATACAAGTTAGGGGAAACCACATACATACATACCTGTGCGCGATACAGAGGGAAGACACCAGATGGGGGATGCAGTCGGAGACGTGTGGTGAGGCCCGACTTGCTGCCCATCATCACGTTGGCACCGTCGGTGCTGATCCCCGCAATGCGGTGAAGGTCGACCCCGACAGCCTGCAGATGTGACAACAGTAGACTGAGAAGGGAAGCTGCGTCGGCCTTCTCCACGGTGAGTAGCGCCATGAACTCCGTGACAAGCTTGTTGTCACGGATGAAAGTGATGAAGAGAATCAGGTGCTTCCCGCTGCACCTATCCGTGCTCTCGTCAATCGCGATGCCGACGAAGGGCGACGCCAGCACGTGTTCCAGCTGGGTTGTCTGGAGCCATGTCGCAGTCGCTTGCGTCAGCTCACCGAAACCGTAACTGCATGCACATGGAAACAATAGTGAGAACATTTTCCTCGGGATAAATCATTGACACATCAAAGTGCATTAAATAACTTCAGGCAGTTGCACTCACGTAGTGTAGTAGGTGCCGTACCCCTTCTTCGGGAAGCCAGGCACGCCCTTCTCCGCCAGGTAACGCACGAGCTTCACCCACATCCCCATCGGCGCATCGGACCTGCTGATGAACAGCAGGGAGTCGAGTAGGGCGACGACGCGCGACTGCTCTCCGTCCATGGTGGCGCGATGTTGGTCGATCTGCGGCTGCCTCGCTCCGCACTCCTGCAGAGCTGTTTGCCTCGCCATCGCCAGCTTGTGCTTCGCCGTGCCCGCGTGCTTGCGAAACGACTGGGTCTGCAAGTCCGTGGCGCCTTTCCCGCGTCTCCCGCACTTGCCTCCGTCGCCAGCATAAGCTGCACAAACAGTACACTTGAAGGCAGGCAAGCCGGAGGTGCTTTTGGTGATTTGCAGCCAGGGAAACCGTGCTTGCCACTGACTCTTGAACTTGTCAATTGCATCATCGTACAGCCCTTCAATGAGCTCGGCTAGGTTTATGGTGAGGCGAGGACGCGGACGCTCAGACGAGCCGGGAGAATTGTTGACGTCGGCGGTCGAGGCTGAAGGCTTGGCGAAGCTCAAGGTCGCCTGCTTGAGCCGGACGGTTCGCGACGTGGTCTGAGTGGGATGGTGCGATGCCGTAACGACAGTAGGTTCCGCAGGTGTCTCTGCAACAGGGTCGGGATTTGAGATCACGGGTGCTGGAGGTTCCTTCAAGGTGGGGATAGAATCGGGCTCGGCGCGTGCTGCCTTCTCGAGAGCTAGGTGACTGAGAAAAAAATCTAAGCCTGTTAACGCAGGCTGAGAATCAGGGTCGTCGTCATCGCAGGTAGCGGGATTGTCGGGCAGAGCCATGGCGCGGATCTGAGAGAACCTGCCGAGCAGAAACGAGAGGCGGTTCTGAGGCTACTGAACTGGGCAGTGGATGGGCCCAGTGAATTGAAGCTGAGCTGAGGGATGGGGATGAAACCCTAGCTCGTAGAGGATGGCCCTATAACAGACTGTGGGCCATCCATGACTCTGGTGGGTGGTTGCCAAGCATGCACGGCAACGACGAGGCGCGTCTGCCGTGCACTGCTGTGAGAATGTTTCGTGTTGGTACACGATGCTGCCAAAGGGACCAAACAACGGGTCTTGTTGGCAACGTCTGCTCACCATCACCTTTACGTGGGTGGCAACTGCTTCAGCATCTTGGACACTGGTGGTGGTGGAGTTCGTGATGGCAGTCAAAGCTGCCAAACGGACCAATCAGTGCTCTAACAGTGTGTGAGCTGGAGCTTACACCGAGGGAAACATCGCGCCGCAGGGCGGGGGAAACATCTAGCTGCACGAGTGTCCACTGTAGATTCAAGAATGGCATGCTTCTGAAACGACTTCACAGTGGTGGAGGCCACGAAGCCAAAGAAGAAAGAGTGCTGCTCCGACCCACCTTCCAGCACCTCACACAGCGCCAGCCTCCTCTCCAGCACTGCCTCCCGCGGCTTCTCCTTTGAGTCAGCCAGGAAGACCTGGATGGTGCCAGGATCCCCCGGCTCATAGTTCACCCATGCCGTGTATGCCTTCTTGCTGCTTAGAGGGAATGGTGACGGCACAGCGGCTAGCGACTTGTCCTCGCCTTGAATGTTCAGCCCCACATGCTGGCTGCGCATGTCGCCGTGCTGCTTGTCCTGCCGAGTGTCAAACTCAACCACCACACTCCGCTTGTCCATTCCACCATACCCCACACCGGTGCCTCTCCCCACCCGGTCGGTAGCCGAGACAACAAAGGCAAAGCCGTTGAAGCCCACACGGCCAGATTGAGGCGAGAGGGAGAAGGTGAAGTTGGCATGGAAGGCGAGCTGCAGTCCACACCCCGACAGTCCCTGCCCTGCCTCGTACACAAACAGAGTCACCGGAGCTGTGGTGAAGTTCCCCCTCGTCTCCCGCTGCGTCCCCTTGGTGAGCACAGATGCTGGCGGGAGAACCGGCTGGCTGCTTGAGTAACTCCGGTTCTGGCCTGCACAAACAAAAGTAACGGAGGGGCGGACAGGAGTGGGATGTGGAGAGCATGAGAGCGTGAGATGGGATGCAAGGGTTACAAAATCAAAGAAGTTCGGACGAATTTTTAACCAACGGATGAACGTCTCACCATTCTATTGACTTCAATGGTGGCCCCTACCTTGAGCAACACAGTCAATGTCTCCAAAGCGCACGAATCCCGCATCGCACAGACATGTGGGTGCCAAGCTAGGCCCCTGTGGATAGCACCGCCCCTTTCGGATGCGCTACTGGTAGAGCTTCCAGAAGAGTCGCGAGCGGGCGACGATACGAGGCGGATGACGAGGGTGGTGGCGAAGGTGTTGACCTCTTGGTGCCTATGCTCCATGGCATTGAGAAGCCTTCGTGAACACCATGGCGCCAGCATCGACGTCCTGCAGAAGAAACTGGGCTGCCGGGACACTGCAATAGGAGCTGATAAGGAGAAGAAGAGCAAAAAGTTGTCTGCAAAGGGGAAGGCGACGAAGGGGGCGTCGAGGGAGGAGACCACCAGCACTGGTGGTCAGGAGTGAGGGTGGTGGATTTGTTTTGACTGTGTGTAACATAATGCATTTGTTTGATCTTCTTAATAAAAATGTGTTTCCACAACGTGCAGGTATAACTCCTTGGAGACCTAATTCGACCGGAACTTGCAGAAAACTCCACTATGCGTTGACGCGACTAGTGTTGCAGAGACACATCCATTTAAAGGATAACTGACACATCGTTTTCGACAGAGTGTGGCAGACTCTGCCGAAACCGGAAAACAAGTCTATGAAATCTGTTGTGTGTAGAGAAGAAGGACAAGTAGAGACCTCCGGATGAGAGCGGCGCCCGCCATCCTGGAGGAAGCAGAACAAACCGAATGTTATACGTATTGTTATTCTGCAGCCAATTTGTTGCAGAAGCTCAACGCCTGTAGAGATCGGAAGCCTACTATACTGCTGTCGTAGTGAAAGTCAATGCATAAGATCGATGTCCTCGTCCCTTTCGCAAATCGACACATAATAGGCTAACATCGAACCTAGTTTATGTTATATGTGCCGCAATGAGCGATGCAGTAATTGGAGAAGATCGAATGTAGAATTATGTCGTCGCAGAAGCAGACAACTAAAAACTTTCTACAGATTCAGTACTGTATCTGTGGGGCATATGCCAGAAATGTAGAAAAGTCGATTTATACCTGTCCCCCCTAAGCGTAAAGCAATATGCCCATCCCATACCCCAGAACCTTCATACCGTAGTGGTCTCCACGGCCGACAAGAAACAAAAAACCAATTTCGACGCCTAACATTTCGACGCAGCCACCTTTGCCTTTTCCCGTTCCGCCTTCTTCGCCTCTGCAGCTCGTCTTTTCTCCTCTTGCGCAGCCCAATCTTGACTATCAGCCAGCTCACTCTGCGTTGCGCTAAGTCGTTCCCGGTCTTCTTCTCGGTCGACGACCCGGTTTTCTGTTTCTTGTTGGCGGGAGTCTCATGCAGCACCGCCAGACCGTTGGTGAATTCGGTGAAGTTGCACAAGAGGAACACATCGTCGAGCCGCTTAACAGCCGCTGCGGTCGCAGTCTCGGAGCTGTCTTCTCTGAATGTCTCCACGGCTTCCATGACAAGCTGCACGCGACGCATCTTCCGCTCGCATGCAGACTCAGACATCTGGGGCACACCTTTAGCCGCAAACCAGACATATGCGGTGAAGAAGCTGTTGTTCTTGTTCGGATCCCAGTCGAACTCTTCAAAGACATCGCTCAGAGACTTGCCGCCCATGATGTAGCTTGACTGCACCCACAGTTTCCACGCAGCCGCCAAAATCGTGAATTCACGCCAGGGCACAACGCCGACGACGAAGAAATCTTCCACCGCAACTGGTCCTTTGGGTGCATCCGTTACCTGGCTTGGACCTACCCCAGCGCCCTTCGACGATCCGTCGACCTCTGCAGGGGTGTTTTCAGCGTCTTTCCTGGCCTCAACCGACCTCTTGTAAGCTTCGAACTCTGCAATGACCCACGCCTTGTCCTCTCGCTCAGCATCGCGTTCTCTAACGCCAACTGCGTTTCACGTCCTCTCGACTTCCCAAGATCCTCCCTGAGTTCATTGGCGATGAGGTGCATCTTCTGCATCTTTTCCTCGGTGGTCGAGCGATAGATACCATCCTGCATAAATATACACGTCAGAACTCTGCTTAAACGGATAACTCTCTCTACCACTAAAAGCAGATACTTACTGCTTTGGCGGTGGTTTGGCTGGTCTTCCGAAGCTTCTCGCCCTCGAAGTGAAAGCTAGCGACCAGGTACGCCCACTTTTGGAACAATGGGTGCTTGCACGAGGGGCTCATCTGCACATAAGGGTGCCGCTCGCAGTTGCACCACGGGATTCTCACGCCGTGCTGATGGCAGAACACCCACATCATAGCCAGATCCTGTGCAACAACGAGGAGTCCGATGGTCGCGAGGGTCTCGAGGAAACACAACCTTGCATAGTGCCTCTTCAGCTCGTCAGTCTGAGCAGCGTTCCATGCGTTGACCTGAGGGGACGAGTAGGCAGGAGAAATGCGACGACTTATAAATGCGTATAAAATTCCATATACGAACGCGCAGACTCTAACACTCACACGTACCTTCTTCCAATCCTCCTCGATCCAGGGGAAGATGTTTTGCCTCATGAGATCCAGCAGCTACAACCACTCATCCTTCTCTTTATCCTCATGGTGCGGAAGCTTAGCGCGGGCTCTGCCGATGTAGTAGTCTCCACGATCCCCGCTGAATCCAGCCAGCAGCCAAACCGGCTTGAACGGAATGCCCATCACATAAGACCTCCGCATCTCTCCCTGCTGCCATCCACCTAGAGTGCCGAAATCGTTGTCGGAGCAACCGTCGTCATGGAGTTGTTGCGCTCCAGATCTGCTGAACGCATGTGTCACCTTGCTTAGAATCCATTTCGCCTTGTCGATGGACCATTTAATCCAGGTGCAGTGTGTTATGTAGTGCATCTCATCTTGCTTCTGCTTTCCCTTTTCCTTCTTCTTCTTCAAGGAAAAGAAGAGGTGCGCTTTAGTCCACTTGAGCGGTTCGGAAAAGTCGAGAGGCTCGACGATACCAGGGCCGTATCACAGAGGAACGAGGTCGAATGAAGCCACAGGAAAACATGGCCCATTCCGCAGAGCCGCCAGTCCCTATGCTTTGCAAGAAACTGGTGACTCAGCTTGTTGCTGAAGTTGGTCTTCGATTTCCTGGAAAAGACGACGAGTACATAGACGTCCAGATAGTCGTCGAGGTGTGAGGTGCTCCGCGTCATGCAGACAAACAGGTTCGCAAGGCGAATCTTTCTAATGCTGCACCCTCTTCCCAGAAATTGGTGTCCGAGGTGCATCATAACCGGCGTTTGTAGAGCCTTCCAGAGAGGAAGCGAGATTTGTGCCGGAGGCGACCGCCACCAGATTTCTTGGAGTTCTTTCCGCAGAACCGTGTGACATAGCGTCAGCGGAGATAACTACTACAACGGGAGCTAGACTACGGGCTAGGCACGAGTGCTCGTATGATCTCTGCATTCGTTGTTCCTTAGTCGTTGTCCTAGTGCGCACACTGCTTGCTAGTTCACGGGGCAATTTGGCTAGAGTTTCACTAGAGAAAGTTGACAACAATGGTACAATCAGGTTGGCAAGACATGACTACATCAGAGCTAGCATTCAGGTTGGTCGACTGCCAGCGCAGCATGGTCGACCGTGTTCCAGCATGACTTGGTCGACCGCGCTCAAGCAGTGCAAAGTCGACGGCGTGCCAAAGCTGCAAGTGGACGACGTGCCAGCATTGCTCCCGCAGTACAGCATCGCACCAGCTTCGCAGGTGCTCGCAGATGATTGGCGTGCTGAGCCTTGTCACATGCACAACGCACACACCAAGTCGTCCTCTTGCTGACGACTGCACCTGATCCGCCACGTCGCCCTCAGAATACCACCACTGAGGTCATTCTCGCCAACATCGCCTGGGCGACCGTCGCACTCCTCCGCAGAACCTCGTCACCCAGGTAACCTGGTCGACCGGGCAACCACGTCGACCAGCTGCTCCTGCATGTGCTCGTCGTCCTCCCAAGTCGACGGCCACCTCTAGTCGACCTCACCAGGTCGACCACACCCCTAGTCGACCAGCTCTAGGTCGACGAGCACAGTTGTCGGCCGACCACCCAAGTCGCCTACCCGAAGTCGGCCTCACCAAGTTGACGCCCTGCTACTCGAAGCCCAGCTGCTCGGCACCCTGAGTCGTGGTCGACGTCGGCCCCTCCTCCGTCGACCACCTCGTCAGGTCGACCGCCAGGTCGACATCACGCCTGGTCGACCAACCACCAAGTTGACCAGTAGGCCTGTCAGCCGACCACCGCAGGTCGACTTCCCAAGTCGACCTCCCTAAAGTCGGCGCCACCCTGAAGTCGGCGCCCCTGCAGTGGCCCCCGTGCAGGTCGACCTCCTCGTCAACCAGCTCGCCCACTGCTGCAGGTCGGCTGCTCCCCGCACACCCGACCACGAAGTCAGCTCCGCCCAAGCGAGGACGGGGCCAACACATAACTCCCGTTGACACTCCCCTGCCGCGTTCACACTTGGGCCCCCAGCCCTCACGGTAGTACTCTTCGGAGAATAGCTCGTCGACGTGCACCCAACACACAGCACGTCGTCCACCGCACCAGCCATGCAAGAGGGCAAGGCACCTGCTACTGCACGTCGTTGTCCCCGTCGGCCAGGCGCACCTGGCCGATGGCAGCGGAGCACCGGTTGAAGGACGGATAGTGCAGCGCCTTCGTCAGGAAGTCGGCCGGATGCTCAGCGGTCGGGATGTACTTCAGCAAAAACTTCCCGCGCTTCACTATGTGCTGCAGCCAGGCCTGTCGCCGCTCTATGTGCTTGAGGTTGCCCGTCAACCCCATGCCCTCGGCGACAGTGATGGCCGACTTGTTGTCCACCCGAACGACGGTTGGCTTCCCGGCATCCAGCTGCCGGAACTCTGCAAGGAGGAAGCGAAGACGACGTCCCTCGTTGCCTGCTTCCGTGGCCGCCACGTACTCCGACTCGGTCGACGACAGCGTCGCACACTTGATACGCTGGCTCGACCAGGAGACTGCGGCCCGAACTCCAGGGCGGTGTCACGCGTGTTGGCGAGGTAGGCGAGGTAGCGGTCGACCTCGCGCCAGTGCTGATCGCTCTTCACCATGAGGTCGCTCCCGAGCTTTCTGCAGGCGAAGGCGATGTCCGGCCTCGTCGTCGTCGCCGCAAACTGCAGCAAGCCGACCTTCTGCCGGTACTCCTCCTCCTGTTGCTCCTGTGCCTCCTCGTCGTCGAAGGTGAGCTCCGCGTAGGCGTCTTTGG